ACAGGTTCCAAGTTTTTGAAAGACAAATGTCGAAAATTTTGACAAAAAAGTCGGTCCGTTTAAAACGACCGTTAGAAGGCCCGAATGATTACTAAGTGTGAGACAAAACAACGAGTTGATCGCCCCGTGAGCAACGTAACGTAGCGACGACCCCAACAACCCGGTGTACTATTATCGCGAGGTGCATTGTGGAAACTACTACCATAGATAGTTCTCTCTCGGGATGCCGACAGCTCGATATAGTTCGACTGGTATTTCTGGTGCTGAAGGTGGATGCCTGTTGTGGGATTAGCTACACCCGTAGCGATCTAAGACAGACCCCGATGACGAACTTGTTTATTCATCTCTTGGAACAACAGTGCTTGCTTGCTGTTGCCTTTCTTTCCTCTACTAGCCCTTACACCCGCGGACGAACAGTAAGTAGCCGCCGAACTGTGGCCGAATCGCCGTTTGTAGATTTGCCCGCTTGCCTTGCCACCAGCCTTCCCGACACTTGCGGAGCACGCCTATTCTGTCCGAAAGTAGCGCATTGAGCAGAGGCTAGCGTGGCGCTGTATCTTGCTCTGTCTTGGAGGATGTCGTGGGGGAAAACACGCATCGATGTTTCCTCCTGAGGAAGTGGTTGTTGTACCTTTTCGCTGTCTGCCTTTGATGTAAGGTGGAACACTCAGTACGTTGGCGAGCGCTGGTATAGGTGGAGGCAGGGCCGCGAACCTCGTCATCGTAGCTTAGTTGAGTTCAGAGACTTCAGCTGCGGCGAAGAAGGGAACAGAAGCAAGACGACACTAAATATACGCGAAGGGATGCTAATGTGGGCAGAAGCAAGAAACTCTGCTGACGTTAGGCACTGGTAGCGATTTGTTCAAAATCCCCATGACAGACCCCGAGGTCTAGGTCTCGCGAAGGGCACCGCCGCAATCTCGTGCATGTGGCGTTAGTGGGGTCAGAGAATCTCCATCGAACGAACTAAAAAGAACGCTTCCAAATAATTGCTTTCAAAAATGCTTGGGCCGGGTCCTTGGGAACAGAAACCAATCCAACCCGTCAGAGAGGCCCCGGGCAAAGAAAGGGTGCCACTGCCTTGCATGTTGCGCGTGGCCAATATTGTTTTGCCTTTTCATTCAGTTGGGCGTTCGTGTTTAATGCGCGGTTTGACGTGGTTTTGAGGCCATCGGACAAACAGACCGACGCGAGGAGCAAGAGTTCTGCACATGCCAACTCCAACTCGTTGAGCACAGGGTGACCTAGGGTGACCTCGCACTGCCAGCCGTACTGTCGGGGATAGACGCAGATCCGTCGCTGCCGGACGGCAACAACAAACATCGGGCTGGCGTACACTACGGAAGACGAAAAACGGCATCAGGTTGCACTTTGGTTCTCTTTTAAGGCCGTGCCGCTCTGTCTAAGGTTCAGCACTCCGGATAAAGCACCTACACAAGAACCGTCGAAATGCGGCGAATCGCACGACCGGGATATCGCGATTGAAACCGCAACCGACGTTTACCCTTGGGGTCTTTCCCGAAGAACGGCAAACGTTCGGTGCAGCTGAGGCTCTACGTTTCTAGTGTTCTTGCCGCGCCCCGCTCTCGTCCTCAGACGGAACCGAAGACTTGAGTGCGTTCCCCACTGCCCGGCTGACCGCCGCCTTCTCTTCCCGGACGTCCGCGCGTACCCCACGCATAGCGTTGGCCCGGAAACTGTTGCTGCTGTCGGCCCCTCCCCAACCTGCTCCCTCGGTTTCCATCGCGGCGCTGTTGCGCTTTACCAGGCCGCACCCAGCGATGACAGCCTGCGTCGAACAGGTTTAGGCGGTGGATGTTGGCAAACATCAAGGGCGCCTAGTCATGCATACAGTAATCGTTTGGCCAGGATCTTGCATCCTCTAACAAGCCGTGAGGGCACACGCCGGTTTTCCACCGAACAGGCACATGCCAACCGAAACTTTGCGTTCGGCGTACATTTTTAAGGATCTTCCATTCTAAAGCAAACGTCGCCGTGGTGCCGTCGATGAGACGTGAAGAAGCAGGAGATACTCGGCAGCGAGGCACCAATTTCCACAGCGTTAGAATCCCTGACTGGTCCAACTGACACGGAAGGCTGCGAGTCACTTGGACCAGCACCGATAGTAGAAGGTACTGCACGGAGACCGGAACGTGTTGTTTGTGTGAAGACCACAACAATCGGCATTCCAGCAAGACGAAGAGCAGTTGCCGGTAGACATTTCAGCACCGTTCTCGTCCGCTTTCATTAATGGTAACGAAGTCCCACAGGAGAAAAAAAACGCAACAATCAAGTTGCTCTGCAAGAGAACTACCGAGGGACCTCATCGTTTCCACCACTGATCACGTCATGCTTAAGATCGTTTCCAGTCTCGGCGACTCCTACCAAGCACGGCGAGCAAACGGAACAGCCAGCACATTGGTGCTTCCATTCCGCCCGATTACCCATCGACAAGCTGTCTGTAAGCTTCAAAATCCAGGAAACAGGGCGAACGCTTCGCCTTACATGTGGTTTGTCAACCCCTACACATCTACTATTCGCCTGACCGAATGAATTCTCGTGAGTAGTTCGAATAGGCGATGGACGGCTCCCCGATGGGTTCGAGGTCACACGGAGCGAGCTATCGCGATTGATTACTCGCTGTTCAGCATCGTTTGCAGCTGTGACAGACGTGATGCTGCAGCGCTTCGGCAAACCCATCCAGGGACTACTGTTCACTCCATGATGAATAACAGCGAGACAGCCACGATTAACAACCACCAGATCGAGTGTGGAGTGACTGTGTGTGGGTACGGCACGGTGATGATGCGGGGATTGACGCAGGCAGGACTAGCGTGAAACTTGACATATATTGGTAAAACTGAGCCGTTCGTTTGGCTGTAATACTGCCGTGGAAGAGCACGGCAGAGCCTCTGATGCGATTAGGACTAGGACTAGCGGGAACCCTGACAGATGTAGCGAAATAGTTCCGTTCGTACGGCAAAGCTCTTTTACGGACATCGGAGGGAGAAGGAACACAACCCTGTAGTCAATTCAATCAAAATCGTCTGCATGAACCTCGGAGGAGGCAAGATTCTCGATTTTGGAATTTAGATTCAAGTCTCGAAATTGAAAGCATCAGATTGAAACTCAATATTTGAAAAAAAACAAAAGTGGGTCGTGTAAGAACGGTTCCTACAACAAAACACATAAACACTCAACGCAAGACGTGCAAAACCCTAGACAACTGATTCTTCAGCGGGTTCCACCCCTCGAAGCCGCTTGTCACACGTGAAGATTAGGGGGGAGGACCTGTACATGTACGCGACCACTCCCCGAAACACCCAACACGCTGAGCTAACCACGCTCGGCGAGCAACAGAAATAAGGCACGAGGGGGCACGTAGGGACAACCATAATTAACCGGAGATCCCGTCGGAATTGGCCGTATTCGTCATGACACCCTAAAGTCAACAGTACTAGCGCCAAGCCCGGTCAATCACCCCTCACCTTGCCGCTCAGCTTCCCACTTCTGCTACCCAGGTCCTCGATCCTGCGGCAGGCGGAGCGTCGATCGGCGAACGGAAGCACAACGTTGCGCATTAGGACAGCCTTGTGGAGCGGAAATCGAGTCGTTAACCAAGGCGTTTCGTCATGCCTGCTCCAGCTTGCAATTGTAAATCTAGCTCAATCAATATCTACGCATACGACCGCGCTGGCAAAAGCAGGGACAGAGGGAGCCTCAGCTTATTGATTGCCTAGCCTGAGCTCCAAATTCCAACACCAACGCGAACAACAAAAGTAGCTCGCAGTGTGTGAGCAACTGACGTAACGAAGTTCCTCTTCTGTTCTGTCCAACACTGACGGCGCAATTCAACATACAACCCAACCATAGAGGTGTTTGCCCGTTGCCGTGCCCAACGAAACCACTGGGGCGAACAGTACTGGCAGAAAAGAGACGGGGGATGGGGGGTACACACCGGAAGACGACATCCATTCCCTGAAGAACTTGCCCGAACACGACGTGCTTGCCGTCGAGCCATCCGCACGGGGCGGTGGTAATAAAAAACTGACTGCCGTTAGAATTCGGCCCTGAGTTGGCCATGCTCAATACCTGGGGATGATATTAATGCAGCAAGTCGTTAGCCTCATGCATAAAACACATACGCCTTTGTGATTGTCGGACCTCGCGCTCGCTCGCCAATTGCCTACTTCGCAAGGCGGCTGTCTGGAGATTGTTAGCACCGTGAGACTGATGCTTCGGTGGGGGGGGGTGCGTTTGGGGTGAAATCTTACACTCTTGGGAGAAAACGTGCGGCCCTCGCTCGTTGATCTTACTGCAACATAGGACGCGCCCAACAGATATACACTAGAGTGTGTCTATCTCCCTACCCAAAAGCGTTAGATTCGGTGACCCTCCAACCGTATCATCACTCGTGGTCTTTTTGTGTGCATACTTTGATGATTCTCTGTCGTGGGTGAGAAGCCAGCCTTTCCTGGCCATGGTGGAGGCCATACCAGCGTCAACGCTAAAAAGGCACCAAACACCTATCCCATGCAGGGCCCACTCAATTTCAACATGTCTCCGCCAAACAACACTCACGCCTTCAACTCGGCGGCAAGCACATTTCCGAAGCTTCAGTATTTGATACCTGCCTACGCATACCGTAGGTTGCATAAAATACCACACGCCGCGGACAGATTTTTTCAAAGCTTGGCTGCGCTGCAGCAAATACAATTCTGGTGCGGGAAACAATGGTAGCCATGGATTTGTTTCGTCGAGGGCTATTTCGACCTTTTGTTTTTGGTGTACTCTACACTGTGGAGAAATACAGCTTCGAAAATCGGTCCATGGGGTGTTGTACCTTACGCAACCCACGGTAAATCACCACGCTCTTCGTAGAGTCCCGTTGTCTTTCATCAGTCAACCCCAAACTCACCCCAGGCCCGACATGCTTCAGCTGCGACATATCTTCATCGTCGAACTTCGCTCCAAAAATTGAGAGTCCCCCGGTTCCATTGCCTCTCGTAAAATCACCTCCCTGTTTCGTGGCAGAAAATAGGGCAAGATATCGTGCTGCTCACACTTGCGTCCACCCAGTCTCCCAACCAACCGCGACACCCCTGAACTCCGAAAGGACCGCCAGAGGGAGGCACGTCGCGGTCTCATTGGCTGAACAGGCCACGGGGCACAGCGCCGACCAAGCGATTCGGCCTTCGCGAAAGGGCTGTCCTGGACGCATGACCTGAGAATCACTCGAACCTTGAAAGGAATGCCTTTATGGTGCATCCTATCGGCACACCGGTGGCAACAGGTATGTGTCCAGTGGTCTACAAAACGACGCACATCAGCAGCCGCTCCTGGCGGGAACCGCTGAAGAGCGCGCGGGGGCCAAGAGTTTCACCTGAACCATGAAGCCAGGTATGGCGCGATGAAAAATAGACCCCTTGTAGCCGAAGGGCTGTCTCCTCTGCTTCTGTTGCGAAAAAATGAAAATGGATACGACATTGCTTTTTCGGTAGCGATAGCAATCCCATCGCATGCATCGGAACTGGCGAGCATTGACCATGCATGGGGACAGGGGGGGGGTCTGAGATAACATCTTTCGGATGAGAAAAGCGAATACCAAATCCCACCCCAACGTTCGTTTGGGCGGGGCAAGTCTAGCCCTATTGGCTGGAAAAATCACGTGGTGCCTCGTACGCGTATGAGCGACCCCGACGTACGCGAAGCAATCCCCCAAGCCCCTGGTACCCGAAGCTTCGACCTATGGGACCATCTACAGATTGGCGCAAGCTGTAGGTCGACTGCGCATGGCCATGGTGTGCTACAGAACGCGCCACACATTGAGAACATAGCAGCTACGAACTTGAGCCTAAAAGAACCCCAACACCTAAGAACTTGGCAGTAAGAACAAATGCTCAGTCCCACACTAGAACCTATTCGTCGCTGTGGGGGTACAGTACCCATAGACTAAATAAGAAACGAGCCTACAGTAGGGCCACAATGTGCCCATTGCTTCCTTACCGGGTCTCCTTTGCAGAGACCGACGAAGTTCTCAGCTGTCCTAGGAACGACCGCTCCGTACAGCCCCATGATCACCCTCCCCGCCGGTAAGCCGTCAATCTCCACGTCGAAGAAAACTTTGTCCGTTACCGCGGCCTGTTCTCAAGCAGGAGAGTTAAACGTCGAAAGGACAAGGATGAATCGTCATCGCGGCCTGTTGGTCCAGCAAGGCGAGGAAAGAAAGCAGACGCCGTTTGCGATCTCATTTCAAGCATTCACGCTAACAAAGCCAACAAGACAACGAATGCTGTTTACCCAAAATGAAACCAACAACGCTGAAGAGGTGACAATATTGTGATGTAAGAAAACAAAAAAAACGAATGCGGGTGATCAAAAAGGGAGTAGTGAAAGGTTGAACAACGCTTCTTGGGCTGGCAAGAGTGACCGGAGGAAATACAGTACACGGAAAGGAAAGGACCGTCGAAAATCGAACAAGACGCAAAAACATTATTGAGCGTCGTGCAGTTGTGTTCACACCATTTTCAGCTGAATAACACCATCAGGCAACACGCCAACAACAACAACGCTAACCGCGGCAGCAGCACGAACATACAGCACTAAAGCGTCGTCCACGAGGGTACCTGAGGAATGGCTGGCTCTTCGTCGTCGTCTGTGGCGGATGCCTGCAAGAAAGGCCACATGCAACGACACGTGCAGTAGAGCATGCCAGGCCACAGACAGCGACACACCAAAATTGCGAGCAGCAGCGGGAGGGGGAAGAGAGAGACTAAGACAAGACTTCAAGTCTCAAGCGGCCAGCAGTTGGATGGATCGAGGAATTTACAAGGTTCGGGGCTGGCATAGGTAGTCTAGGCAAAAAGCCTGAGGTCATGTATAACAATATCAGTGCACATTCGGTGGCAGGCAGGGCAGAGACGAAGCGACTGTTTAAGCAAGTGTTAGGAGGAGGGTGGAGTGGCCGCCAACATACCAGCGTTGTGAGGTTCATGCCCAAATTCCCAATGCCAGAGAATACTGCCGGGTCATACTCCCTCCCGATCTTGGAATAATGCAGGCAATTCATGAAAACACCCTAGGGCGGTTGGTCTTTGGTCGAACACCAATCCAAGGCCGTATCCTCGCCTCCGAACACTTTCTTGGAGAAACACTCCGATACTACCTATGCACTCTAGGAGTGTTGGTATCCTCAGGCTGTCTAACCCAGACTGCTGGACAGTCAATGAGCAAGCGGCCGAGAGGTTACGAACCGGTACAGCAGTTGGTTCCCCTGCACGACTATTGTACCGCAAACAAACATGTGTACGGTGACAGAAGATATCACACCCCCCGTGGCCCGATTTTCAAAGCTCGATCACCACTACCCACGGCAGAAAGAGTGGCGGTGCCGACGAATCGCATCTTTGGTACCGCATGCCGTCGAGAGTTTTCCAAAAACTCGTCGTGGATTCATGCATTCTCTTCCATCGTGGAGTAATCGGTAATCCAGCGTTCAGCATGGGCCAAGGGGGTGTGCTATCTTACGTCACAATCCCTCCCTCCTTGTTTTCCTACCGGTGTGCTTCCTTTCGAAGATCCAGAACCTTTGAGGAGCTGCGCGCCGAAGTACCCTCCGGCGAACAAGAGCGCCGCGCCCACCAGCGAAAGCGCTCCCCGGCTCCGCTTGCCGCTGTTGTTGCTCGCCGGAGGCGGCGTGGTAGTCGAACCTCCGGCCGTAGAGGTGGCGGTGGTGGAATACCCGGCGGTGGGTGGGGCGCCCTTGACTCCCGACAGAGGGCCGTTCTCCACCTTCCTGCTTGCCAGTGCCGCCGATCGAACAGCGCCTCTGGTAGAAGTAGTTGTATCATGGCGAGGGCTGGCTGCTACGCCAGACGCAGAAGAGGTGCTACAGCTGCTGTGGGCACGCCGGATGTATGCATTGTAGGAGCAGGATTCCAGGGGTCGGTAGTGGACAACCCTCACGGTGCTGGAATGGGACGCCCGAGAACCGGCTGAAGCGCGAACGGTTCGAATGAACGCCTGCCGGCATCCAGTGCTAGAGGGGAGATTCATCCTGACCTATTCCGTCAACGCTGTGCTCTCGCTGTGTGTGTGTATACTTCACACAAACACAGCATCGACCGCGCTAACCCAGACAGCACAGCACGATTGTAATTATTGTAAAATTATACAATAGCACAATCGATTGAACCGCTCACCGGGGGAGTCACGTACAGCAGATTCCCTCGGTATCCCATTCTTCTGCCGTGCCCCTCCTTGCTTCTCTGGGACGGCGCAACGGCAACGGGCACTTCAACGCCACTGCGGCGCGGCGGCATACGTACTGCTGCTGTGCCCCAACAAAGACCTTGACTTAATGGAATTATCTCCTCGCCATGAGCAGCCTGTTCTTTCCGCTGGAGGGAGCGCTCCCCCAGGTACGTTCGATACCAGCGGAGAACAACAAATGACAGAGTCCGCGGGCCCCCTGTCTAAATACACAAGTCCTTGCATGTTCCCAAGGTCTTCCACCCCCCTGTAGCCAGCAAGATCGGTAGCAATTAGCCCACCGTTTTATCCTATTTACACGGCTGCTGGGTATTCTCACTGCAGCACTCGCTGATGAGAGAGGCGAAAAATTTTGCCAAGACTCGGTGTTGTGATACTGGTCCACTGGTGCGCTCCTACAATACAGCAGTACACTGGTTTCTGCTGTAGTTGCATGCGGGATGTTTGGCCTAGCTACAGCAGACAGCGTAGCTGTAGACCCCCGGCTTCTCGGCAGGCAACCGCTGGAACAATACAGTGGAGGGCCCATAATAACGACGGTATGTGCCCGGAGCATCGACCGGCGCTAGTCAATGTACAGAATGACTTGGTGACTAGCCCAGTAATTTCACCGGCGCTAATTATATCGGACACCGGCTCTAATCCACCGGCCACCGCACTATTGACCACACACACCCACTGCTGTACAACCTCGGTGAGCGGCTCGTATCTCACAGCGATCTCACCGTTGCGACAATGTCTCGCTTTTGACGAAGATCACCAACTCTCTTCCCTCTTCGGCAACCACATCGCCCCCTCGCTGCTACAGCAGCTGTTGTACATGTTTACCACGGCGGTAAGTACCACCGCTGTTCTCTCGATATACTTGGGTTTGTGGCCATACTTCGGTTAGGCGCCTGGTTGTGGTGAAGTAAGCGCAGCTAGCGTTCGTTCGACCTCATCGTCGGCTTCCGAGTGGTAGCCGTCCAACTCGTTTTTTTAACGAGCATCACCACACCATATCGGCTGCCCCTAAACTCTGCGCGCAGCAAAATACAACCCCTCGTGGGATGCGCCAGGCAACACGCTGACATCTCTGTTGCCAATGGGGAAGCCGTCCCGGGCGGGAGTGGAAAGCGACCAGCCATTGGCGCAGCAGGGGAAGCGACCATTGGGCAGCACCGTGAGTAGAGGAGACAAACCCTGTTTCGGTTCGATAAGCAAGGACTGCCTGTCCGTAGCTTTAACCGCTTATAAAAACCAAGCTCGCGCGGGCTAGTGATAGGCGATTGCTCGGGTATGGTTATTTCCGTCCCTGTATTGTTGACTTACGCAAAAAAGGTAACCCTAACCCCATAGTCGAGAACTCATGTGCATAAGGTCAGGGTTAGAACGCATGTGCATAACTCGAAGTGGTTTGCCGCTCACGATACTCTGAATGATGCCGCGAATGGTTTCTGCGCTGACGTTTCGATAGGTCGCCCTCAACAACAGAGTGTGTCTCGGGAACTGCTGTAGCTCACTCCCAACAAGAGGCAAGCAGGCGCACGAAACCAACCTTGCATTTGTCTTACCGGTTGATGGTGGCGTCCCTACAGAACGCAACATCGCTTTGAGGTGCTAATTTTCCATCAAGGCTAGATTCCACTGTGGTGTAACCCAACAGCGACTGCTGTAAAAGGTTTGCGTGTGGGACTCTTGAACTGAGCACCTGTTCTCATGGGTCAGGTTTTCAATATTGTTTTGTAACCCGAAGGTCTTGTCTTCTAAGGGTCGTGGTGGCGCGGTCTGTAATTCGGAGTACAGCGCCGTTGCGCCGAGCTCCAGCTGTGCCCCTCGCCGTGCCCTGCTGCTCGTAATTGTGAATGTTGTGTCATGCCTGGCCGATCCACCAACTAAATATGAACGTAAAGGCGGCCGACGCGATGGAGTCGAAACGGTTGAAGCGACTGGAGAAGAACCGGGAGTCTGCTCGCGAGTGTCGGAGACGGAAGAAGGAACACAAGGAAAAGTTGGAGGCGCAGCTCGCTGCTCTTGAGGTTAGTCTTAGGGTTAGAATTTGTGTTAGTTGTTAGGGTTAGGGTTAGTCCCCCGAGCCCACGAGCGCTCTCCCGCCGGTTTCGTACCCGTCCGCTTGACCGTTTCGTCTGTTTTTCCTACAGCACGGGCCCGGAGATAAATCGGGTCGAGGTTCAGTTTCATATTCCATCGCCACTGCTGTCGAGCACAGGTTGTTGTCCAGGGTGTAGTGCCAGGATCCACCGTTGAGGTGTGTTTATAGTTCCTTTGTTTTTCGATATTTCGAGAATATTCGAGTCTCTTTTTCTCAACAAATATTTCCTAACTGAGCGTCCGTACTGTATTCAAACTCTCAGGGAAGCGTGTCATCTACGGTTGTTTCGCCCGTGCCTCTCATTGGTTTTTTACGTGTTTTGTTTTATCACCCTACGGCGGCGCCTTGTCGTTACTGTTAGCTTCGACCGCACTAACCAGTGAAAATGACGTAAGTCTCAGTGCGGTTGACGACAGAAAATGCTTCTGCGTAGAGGCCATGATCTGGGATCCCGTAAGGGGGAGGCTAACCTGCTCTCCGGATTGAAAGACTTACAGCAAACGAAGAAAAGTGTGTGTGTCTCTGTGTGTGTGTGTGTGTGTGTGTGTGTGTGTGTGTGTGTGTGTGCGTGTTGCTCGCAGGAGGAAAACCTCAACCTGCGGCTGCAGCTGAGGGTGGGAGACGAGGCGGAGGATGCGGAGAACGCGGAAATCTTGGAGATCAAGAAAGGTCTCCACGACCAAGTGTCGAGAGGGGTCGGGGAAGGGCAGATCCTCCAGACGATGGACTTGTTGACAGAGCGCTTCGCTGATTACGGCAGGTATCATGTGCAGCTGGCAGCAAAGACTTTTGACGGGTGTTGTCTTCAGAAATACCGGCGGCTTGTCTTGACAGCAAGAGAAAAGGCACCGTTGTAATCTTTTATTATATACTAGTAAAACACCCGGTGATAATTTGTAGAGGAGAAACACTTGTTTTGCTGCTTTGTCCAACGGTCAAAGTGTTCATGTTTGTGTGTGTTTTTTTTATTTGTTTTTGTTGTTTTTGCAAGACAAGTACTTGTGTGGGTAGACCGCCCCAATACCTTGCCTTGCCTTACCATGAGACCATTTTTATTTCTTGATATGGCAATATTTATCCTGGCACGAACGGCGCACGTACCGACCCGATGCCCCCGCCCCCCACGCCCCTCGTGTCGCTGGACCAGTGCCCACACGTCAGCGGCCGATTTCCACCTGGCGCAGCTCTCTCGCTTGCTTCTGCCGACGCTCACCACGAGAGTTTGCATGCATGCCGTGCTTCAAGCCGGCGGCAGCGGCGCCGGTGCCAAAACAGAACGGGTGGCGGGGGTTGTAACCCCCGGGGTGCCACCCGCCGCGTCCGCCGACGGCCGTTCGGAGAACGCCCAAGGAGGGTTTGCTGGTGGATTTTTGGCGTCGTCGTCGTCGGGCTACGCTCCCGGGGGGGATTCGTTGCTTGCGTCGGTACCGGGAGACGTGGGGGGAGGTGCCCGGCAGAAGACGGAGGCGGCGGTGGCGGCGGCCGGGTTGGGAGGTGCCGCGAGTGCGGCGGTGGACATGTGGACGTCGCTCGTTGTGCTCCTTGAGGTGTGTGGCAGGCTACAGAGCGCGAGGCGTGTTGTTGTTGACTGGTAGGTGCTGCGGCAGCCGCTAAAGGGGTCTGGTTTGGTGTTTGATCGGCGCGCCATTTAGGCGTTATTGGCGTGGCACATACCTAAGACTGTACTCCACTTTACAGATTTATGATTATTTCCTTTCGCTCCGTTGAGGTTCGCTGGGCTGTTCGAGTCAAAAACACGTCAGCTGTGCGAGCTGTTCGAGCTTGGGAAACGTCACTGAGGGCACCTGGCAGCTGATTTTCACCAAGACGTTATTTGCTTTCATCTTGCATCACCCCTTGCTGACATTGTCATGTTCTTGATGAGCCAACTCCGAAGGCGCGCCTTGTACGATCAGTTGATTGGTGCGTTTCGTGTGGCCCGCGTGCAATTACGGTTAGTTAGCGAGTGTAAGAAGACAATGACCAACCCCCCACCCCGGAAACCCACACGGCTTTGCTGCTTGCCGCCACAGGCTACGCCTGAGCAGCAGGCTGTGATGCATAACCAGGCAGGGGCTATAGCGGACCTTGTGAGGGACCTAGAGGGGACGGAGGAAATAGTCGAGCGGTTGCGGCTCTTGCTGGCCGACCGTAACCAAACCCTTGACGGAGAGATGGCAGCGATTCAGGTGTGCGTACCTCCGTTTTTTTTTTTTATGCATGCACAGTGGCTGTGTGTGTGAATTGTTAGTGGACCATGTCATGTACACATTTCAGCAAATTGGTGTACAACTCAGCTACTTCGGCACACTTGGCCGACAGCAGGATTATGAAGTAGTGTGTTCTCAGCGACCTTCCCTCTGTTTGCCGGCCACACGCGTACATGGTAGCCCGATCGCCAAACCTGCCTTTATTTTTTTCGTGTGGTTCATGTTTCACACATGAACATTTCTGGTCGAATCTTAGTGTTCGCGTCACCGTTTACGATCGCTTTGTCTCGTTGGGCATAGCCGGCGCTGGCGGCAGTAGTATCAATCGCAGAAGCAAGCCGAGTGTGCCGTCCGTCCATCCTCCCCCGCTCCCAAGACTGCGGCTGAGTGAGACACCGCGTCAGGCAGACGGCGAGGACATTGCTCGTATTCTCTCTCGAACTACTGATGTGTCCTTGTGCAACATTCCTCCCTTCACTTACGCGTGTTTGCAGAACACCCTGTGCTCTTTCCTGCGCTCACACATGCCCCTCCCCCCCCCCCCCC